TTTAATACTATTTTAAATTTACTAAGGCTACTCTTGTACTCTTAATACTATCACTGCTACTTCTTCTACTACTATTAGTATTGTTGCTGCTGCTACTACTACTGCTACTACTGCTACTACTGCTACCTACTACTACTACTACTACTACAACTACTACTAATATTTAAATTACTATTAATATTAGTACAAAAACTACTGATATGACTTTAACAAGTTAGTAAGATCCTAACAATCAGGATTTAATTACAAATAGTAATTATGCTGGCGTTTTTACTGCAATTTCCAGTAAAACTACTACAAATATTATTAACATTGCTACTTTTATTTCTTCTATCATTGCTACTGATGTCGCTACTGCTGCTACTACTGCTGCTATTACTGCTACTACTACTACTACTACTACTACTACTGCCACTACTACTACTATTGCCGCTACTACTACTGCTACTACTGCTTATAAAAATGAAAATAATTTAAGGTATAAAAACTCTATTGTTTTAAACTCTATTGTTACATGCTAATTTCACTCTTAGGTATGTTAATAATAATGGCACTAGTATAACAGCAGAATATTAGCAGCAACAAAAAAAAACAAAAACAACAACTTCCACATGACGTCAACACAAAAACAACAACATAAAATAACGAGCGGCATAGATATTAAATCAACATAGAAACTAAATATATGTGAAAACTAGCCACATAAAAATGAGATCACATAGATATAAAAACAACAACAGCATCAACAACAACAACAACAACACAACACATCACATCACACATACTCATGCAATGATAAGTGTTTGTGTTTGTGTGTTTGTAAAAAAAAAGATAGAGTAAAGAGAGAGAAAGAGAGAGAAAGTGAAAGTGAAAGAGTGTGTGTGTGTGTAACTAAAGATTTGTAATAAATATAGAAACAAAGATGTAAATTAACTACATCACCAAAAACAATAAAAACACCATAGAAACATTAATAATATACCTTGAAACATGGAAACAACCTAAACCAACACACAAACAAAACGTAAACAACAACACCATAGAAAAAAAGCCACAAACAACACAAATTGACCATAGACAATGCAGTACCACTTGCGGGCTCTTGTTGCGAAAATCTAATTATCGTCCACCGCAGAACGTAACGACGTTAACATCACTATAACGTCAACATAGACAGGAAAATCTTCATTTAGATAACCTAGACAACTCAGTGAAAAATTCCTTGATTGAGAAAAAAATATTTAAACATCTTTATTTCTGAAAAAAGTAATATAAAAAAATATTTATATTTTGCCGTTAAATTTGGTTTATTTGTTAATAAATGTAGCAATAAATAAATAAGAAAAAGAGAGAGAAAAAAAAACAAAAATAGAAAGAGAGAGAGAGAGAAAGAAAGAGAAGGAGAAAGAGAGAGAGAGAGAGACGAGGAAGGGACGAAAGCCAGCAAACATCTAAAAATTTGTTTAATTAAATGAACAAACAGCCATAAATTAACCATCGACAAACAATACTCATATTAATAACAAAAATAATAATAATAACAATAATAATATCTAAAATAAAAATAAGAAAAATAGTAATTAGAAAAAGAAGAAGAAAAATAATAATAATAATAAATGCCCTCATTTGAGGGCGTTCAGCCCTCGGGTCTTTCTATGCGGCTAATGAAGCCGCCGGAAATGTCTCTGCAACCGGAAGTGTAGATATAAGTCACGTGACTTTATCGCCGGAAGTGGGCATAAGTCATGTGACTGATCGAATCACACGTGATCATGATTCAATTTTTCGATTGGTTGCCTTCTCAGCATCGTAAGTGTATCGTCCCTTCATTTGTTAACTCGAGCGGACATTCACTCAATCACTCTATCATTCACTCAATCAATCACTCTATCAATTACTCTATCAATCACTCTATCAACCACTCTATCAATCAGACAATCGTTTTCAATCGATTCATCGTTTATTCAATCACCCAATCAGTTTTTAATTTCATCCTCCATCTATCAATTGATATTTTTTATTAGTTCATTCATTCAATTAACCTATCAATTCTAATCAACCAATCAACCAACCAACCAGCCAGCCAACCAACCAACCAACCAACCAACCAACCAGCCAACCAACCAGCCAACCAACCAACTAACCAACCAACCAGCCAACCAACCAACCAACCAACCAACCAGCCAACCAACCAACCAACCAACCAACCAACCAACAAACCAACCAACCAACCAACCAACCAACCAACCAACCAACCAACCAACCAATCAATCAATCAATCAATCAATCAATCAATCAATCAATCAATCAATCAATCAATCAATCAATCAATCAATCAATCAATCAATCAATCAATCAATCAATCAATCAATCAATCAATCAACCAATCAATCAATCAATCAATCGATTAAACATATAACCTGTCCAATCACAGCCATAAACTTCTACTCGCATGCATATGGACCTATTATGAGCACTGAACGGAACGAACCTACAATAAAAAATAATAAAAATAAACAATAATAATAATAAATATAAATATAATAATAAATCATTATCATTACCTTATTGTCCTGCATATGATTGCTGGCTCTATCTCTCTCATCTCTGCTATATATGTATTCGTATTTCCTTGAATAAGCTGTGAGGGTTTGTATGTATGTATGTATGTATGTATGTATGTATGTATGTATGTATGTATGTATGTATGTATGTATGTATGTATGTATGTATGTATGTATGTATGTATGTATGTATGTATGTATGTATGTATGTATGTATGTATGTATGTATGTATGTATGTATGTATGTATGTATGTATGTATGTATGTATGTATGTATGTATGTATGTATGTATGTATGTATGTATGTATGTATGTATGTATGTATGTATGTATGTATGTATGTATGTATGTATGTATGTATGTAAG